TCAGCCTCCTAAGTGCTGGGATCACAGGCATACGCCAACACACCTGGCAACTTACCTGAATTCTGAGTTGCAGCTGAAATACTTTTCTTTAGTTTCAGATAATCAGTTTATTTTCTTTTTATTTTTTCGGTACCAGAAATCAAACTCAGGACCTTGTGCTTGCCAGGCAGGCATGGTGCCACTGAGCTACATCCCTGGCCCATCAATTTATTTTAAAAACCCCAAAATGACATTTCTATGTGTGTATGCATTTACTTTTACAATACTGAAATAAATGATAGCTGACTATACAGGTCACACATATGCTGCAAACACACACACTCTCGTCCATTTTAAAGAAAGTGGCTGTTACTCAGGTAATCCCTACACAATGGGCACAGTGTGCCATAGTCTTGCCAAGTGTTTCATAACTCCTTGTTACCTACCTCCTTCCCTTCTAGAGATAACCACTTTCTCTCAGCTTTTGTGATATCCTTTTCTTCGGGTTTTATCAGCTGTATTGTGAAGTAAAATAGTTACATTTTCTCCATTTGTATACTTTGTATGATTATTGAAGCTGATACTCTCTTGCGACTTTGTCTTTTACTTGATAGTATTCTGAGGGTCATCCAGGTTTCTGTGGGTAGTTGCAGTTTCCTCTTTATTGCTGTAGTGTTCTGTTGTGTGATACCTTCATTCACATACCTCTTAATACAGAAGTTGCTGGGCACTGGGGCTCGTTTTCAGTTTGGGGCGATTATGGAAGATGCTTCTCAGAAGTCCTTAGCACTGCTACCTAGCACAGGCGTTAGCCCGAGCACAGGCTCGATGGCTAAGTCATCGAGAGAACTCAGTAGCTGATGCCATATTGTTCCCAGTTCCTGTTTCCATGGCTGGGTTTGAGGGCTTACAGTGCTGCACACTCTGCCCAAAACTTGGCGTGTTAGGTTTTAATTCTTCATATCTACTTCTTTGTATTTTTAATGTACATTATCCTGATTATTAATATAATTGAGCATTTTTTCTCATATATGTGTTGGCCTTTTGGATTTCTTCTCTACTTAATTGCCTGTTTGGATCTTTTGCCAGTATTTCAATTTAGTTACTTCTTTTTAAACTAATTTATAGAAATTCTTTATATATTGTAACTCCTGTCCTTTCAGTAAGACATGTTGCAGGATGCCATCGCATCAACTGACTTATCTGTTTACTCTCTTTATGGTGTCTTTTGAAGGGTAACATTTCTTCATTTTAAAATAGTATTTTTTTCAACTTAGAGGTTATTGCTTTTCATACTTTGTTTAAAAGGTTTTTATCCCAGTCTTGCAAATATTGTCTTCTAAAAGCTTTTATAGTTTCATGTTTTACATTTAGGCTTCTAACTTACTTGTAATTGAATTTCTTGTGGAAGTGGGTAGGAAGGGGTACATTTTCAGTTGTTTTCTTATAAATACCCATGGGCTCTAGCACTGTATTTTCCTATTCTTGGTGGCTGCTGCTCCTGACCTGTACCCTGTGTGGATGGACATGGGGCCTGTGGTACTCACTTCCCTGCTCACTCTTCTGTCCGCTGGGCCGATGGTCCATCTGTCCTTTTCGGGTTACAGTCAGACTTGGTATCTGCAAGTTCCTCTGCTTTATTCTTCAAGTGTGCCTTGCCTTTCCTTTCCATATAAGTTATTAAATTACTTTCTTAGAGGCTGACACTGCTCCCCTTCCCCCCAAAAAGGCAAGCAAGCAAGCAAATAAGAACATGGAGATTTAAATTTGAGCATATTGAATCCAGAGATCAAATTTTGATAAAATTTTATGTCATTAAATATGAAGTTTTCAAAAAATGATCACGATAGTGAAAAAAAAAAGACCAAAAAAAAAAAAAAACCATGATCATGAACATCTATTTAGATCTTCTTTGACCTTTTGACATTTCTTTTTTTTGGTTTGGTTAAAAAAAAGCCTTGCACATATATCTCTTTCTTTTGGTGCTGAGGATTGAACTTGGGTCCTTGCGCTTGCGGAGCAGGCAGCGAAACCACTGAGCTAAATCCCCACCCTTTGCACATATATCCCTTAATAGATTTATTCCTAGGTACTTCATACATTTTAGTACTATTATAAATAACATATTGTTACTATATATAAAATTACTGTTTTTATATTTCAAAAATGGCCAGATACTGGCAATTTATAAGGATGGACTTAATAACCATGTGATGCTGAAATACAGAAATAATTTTTATACTGATTTTTGCATACAGAAACCTTAAAAACTATTATTTAATGTATCTGAGGACATTTTAGCTCTCTAATATATAATTATATACATTCCCTGTGAATAGTGACAGTCTTGTTCTTTCTCTAATACTTGTATCTTTTAGTTTTTATTGCTTTACTGGGTTGGCTAGGACCTCCAGGCACTGGTAAATAGGAGTAGGGAAGGTCTTATTCCCAGGCACCATTTATCATTATGTTTGCTTGGGGTTTTTGTTGATAACCTTTATCAGGTTTAGGAAGTCCTTGTTTACAAACTAAGTTAGGTGAAAGATCTTTTTTTTCTTTTTGAAAAATAATCAATGGTGATTGAATTTTATCAAAAGCTTCTCATACATGTATTAACATAGTTCTATGATTTTTCTCCTTTAATCTTTTTTTTTGGTACTGGGGATTGAACTCAGGACCTTGTGCTTGCAAGGCAGCCGCTGGAACCCCTGAGCTAAATTCCTGGCCCTCCTTTAATCTTTTAACTTAGTGGTTATATTGATTTTTCTAATGTTAGCCAACCTTGGTCTTGATGTAGTTTTTGCATACTAGTAGGTTAGAATATTGTCAATGTTATAGTCTATATATATTTATAAGTTACTTTGCATATTCTAGATATATTAATATATACTAGGATATGTAAATATATTCTATATAAAATGCAGAAAAATATGTTTGCATATTACATATATGTATTTTTTTCTGTTGGCACATGAATGGAATTGGCCCATATTTTATTTTGTAACTCTGTCCTTGTTAGTTTTTGGTATGAAAGTTATGCTCCTCTCTGGAAAAAAGTTGGGATTGTTCCTTCATTTTTTATTGTTGTTGTTCCTTCATTTTTTGATCTGTAGAGGAATTTGTGTAGGATTGTAATGATGGATAGGACTCACTGATCAGCATAGCTGGATTTGTAGTTCATGGGAAGATTTCTTACTGCTGAGTCAGTATCTTTATTATTATTATTATTTTTTTTTGGTACCGGGGATTATTATTTTTTGTATCAAACTCGGGACCTTGTGCTTGCAAGGCAGGCAGTGGAACCACTGAGCTAAATAAATCCCTGGTGAGTCAGTATCTTTATGAGCATAGGACTATTCAAATTTTCTAATTTTACTGAGTATTTTGATAAATTAATTTCTAGAAATGCTTCTTTTGAAAAAATTTGTTGACAAAATTGTTCCTGTTATTCTTTTTTTGAGACAGGGTTTCCCTATGTAGTTCAGGCTGGCCTTGAACTCACTGTGTAGCTGAGGCTGGTCTTGAACTCATGATGATCTTCCTGCCTCAGATTCTCTAGTGCTGGGATTATAGGCATGTGCCACCATGCCCAGCTTGTTCCTCTTATTCTTAACTAATATCTGTAGCATTAATAAGGATGTCTCATTTCTCATTTTTGGTACTGTATATTTGTGCCTATATTCTCTTTTGAGAAAATTTATTGTCTTTCAAAATAATCAGTTTGAGACTTTATAATCCTATTTTCTGTTTGTTAATTTTTGCTCGTAATTTTTTCTCCATTTCTGTTGTTTTGTTTTATTTTTAAACATTCTAAGTGGGTCCTGAACTCATTAATTTTCAGCATTTTTTTCCCTAAGATCAGCATTTAAGGATATAGATTTTCTCTGTGTAGTGTACTTTATATCTTTTGTTTGTTTGTTTTATTTTTGTTTTTGTTTTTCTGGTACCAGGGATCGAACTCGGGCCCTTGTAAGGCAGGCGCCATATTGTATACCTTTTATGGGGGGGTGGGTACCGGGGATCGAACTCCGGTCCTTGCGCTTGCGCAGCAGGTGGTAAAACCACTGAGCTAAATCCCCGGCCCCGTACAGTATATCTTAATACAGTGTTTTCATTATTGTTTAACCAAAATATTTTCTAATTTCCAGCACTTAAGAAAATTTAAATGATGTTTAATAGTCTGCTTATTAATGTCTGTGTTTTTTAGTTTCAAAACATACAGCCTTTCTCTAGTTATCTTTTTGTTCCGATTTCTGTTACTTATTTCTAGATTATTTGTCTTGCAGATATATAGGTGATTTAGCTCTTTGGACATTTATTGAGACTTGTTTATGGCCCTGGGAAATGGATGATTTTTGTAAATATTCTGTGTATGTTTGAGAGGACTGTGTATTTTGCAGGTGCTGGGTATAATATCCTATTCTTAGCCATTAAATCAAGTTTTATATGTTCAAATTAAATATGTCTACTGATTTTTAAGTCTACTTATTTTATTGTTAACTACATGTGTTAAAATCTTCCAGTATGCTTGTGGAGTTGCTTACTCTTTTTGTAGTTTTCTTTAGTTATCGCTTTCTATGTTTTCAGATTATATTATTGAGTATACATTTTAAATGATTGTCTTTCTAGTGAATTGAATTTTTTGTCACTATAAAATGACCCTTTATTAATGACAATCTATTAATGTAGCTATAGCAACTTTCTTTTGAAAGCTTGGTGTCTTTTTTCTGTCTTTTTATTTTAAGCCCTTTTTGTATGTTTTAATGTTTGGTGCATTTTGTACAGTTACATTTAATGTAGTTTCCTTTTCTTTCTTGCCTTTTGAATTATTTCATATTAGAAGTTTTTCTTTTTTATTAACTTCGAAGTTTACATTTGTTATTTGGTGGTTACTTAAAACCTAGAGTTGGGCCAGGGATTTAGCTCAGTGGTTCTGCTGCTTGCCTCACAAGCACAAGGACCTAAATTCAATCCCTGGTACCAAAAAACCAAAAACAAAACAAAACAAAAACCTAGAGTTAATCCCTTCATCTTCAGAACATTTTTAACTTTTTTCCCCACCCAACTTTATTCCCACAGAACTGAGAGAAGATGGTTTCCAGCCTCAGACTTACCTGGTACAGGGGGTGAAAGCATTGCATACTGCTTTAAAATTATGGATGAAAAAAGAAGTAAGTCATTATTGTTCTTTTTTTACACAGCAAGGTCAAGAAAGAGCCCTTTTGCTATGTTGGCAGCATTTGTGAGTGCCAGTAATAGAGAGAATAAGAACTATGCTTTAATATAGCCCACACTTTACTATACAGTACAGATAGATGTACTTGGTTTTGGTTATATTTATGAGAATAAAGAACTTTATTCTTCAATTTGGAAAAGAAAATAATTCAAGTATTTAAAAAATTAACATGTAAGCTGGGTGTGGTGGCACACACCTATAATCCCAGTACTTGGGAGACTGAGAAGGGGACTCTGCAAGTTTGAGGCCAGCCTGGGCTACATAATGAGTTCAAGGCCAGCCTGAACTATACAGCGAGACCATGTTTTGAAAAAAAAAAAAAGAAATGAACATGTAGATAGAGAATAATAATAAACCACATTGAGCTGTTACACAGTTTGGAGCACCATGGTAGTCTGCCTGTGCATAATCTCATTGAACCCTAAAAGAATCTGTGTGAGGTCTGAGTACTATTGGTGCCCCTGTTTAAGTAACTTGCCCGAGAAAATTGGTGGCACTAGGACATGAAACTAGTCTTCGGGATTGCCAGCTGCTGCTCTTTCCCACTCTGCTAGACCTATAGAAACATGAGGGAAAGATGGGGGACGTGGTTCAAGAGTGAGCTTTCTATTTTCAGGAAGTTGCTTGCCCTTAAGCCTCTCCACCTCCAGGAGGTCATCCCAGCCTGAATTACGTAGCAAGATTTAGCTCAGTGGTTCTGCAGCCTGCCTCGAAAGTGCGAGGTCCAGAGTTCGATCCCTGGTACCCGCCCCCCCCCAAAAAGGTCATCCCAGATCTTCATATAGAGTTAGTGTTTTCTTCCCTTACACTTCCAGAACAAATTCCTGTGCTAGTGGACTTAAAACTAATCATATAGAGTTGATATCTGTGTGTTTCCTCCCGTAGGAGTATGAGCAGTGAAAAGAATAGTGACTGTCCATTTTTATTTCAACCCCACGGAGCTTTGTACATAATACTTTAGTAAATGATAATGCATTTCCGTATTTCTTGAATATCCATTTTATTTTGGGGTTTTGGGGGTTTTTTTCGTACCAGGGTTCGAACTTGGGACCTTGTGCTTGCAAGGCAGACGGTGGAACCACTGAGCTAAATCCCCAACCCTTGAATATCCATTTTAAATAAAAATTCTGCTCCTGAGGCAGGGATGTAGCTCAGTAGCACTGTGCCTGCCTGGCAAGCGTAAGGTCCTGAGTTCAATACCTTGTACCGCCGAAAAAAAAAAAAAAAATCTGCTCCTAAGAGATATTGGGAAACAATAATTAATAGCCTAAATTCCAATAATTTTATACTTTCTTATCATTGCTACATATCCACTTATCCACTAGAGCAAGACACAGTAGAAATATTCAGGAGAATGAAAATGTCTTCCTCTGTCAAAGACTTCATTATTTAAATGACAAGGAAAATCCTAAGCAAATTAACAACCATCTGACAAGATGAAAACAAAACAAAGCAGATATTACAAAAACTGTGAACTTTATTTCCTGCTAGAAGCTTTAAGCAAGTGGTTCTCAAATGCATGTTTATCACCATTGCCTGTAGAGGTTTTAAAAAATAAATCCCCTGTATCCTTCTCTAGAGATTCTACTTTAACAGACCTTGGGAAGGTCTGAATCTTATAAACCTCATGGGTGATTTTGATGCATAGTAAATTGGTTAATACTGTTAATGCATTGCATTTGAGGTGCATTTTTGAAACCATGTTTACATTTAACTGTGTTAAATTTGTTGTAAGATGAGAGGAAACTCAGCATAGTGTTAAGAACTTCTGGAATCAGATGTTTGAATTCAAATCTCAGCTTTGTCACTAATTAGCTGTGTGACTCTGGGTACATTACCTAAGCTTTGTGGCTTAGCTCTGTCAGTGGTAACATGGGAATAATTTACAGGTTGAGCATTCCTAATCAGAATATCTGAAATCTGAAGTGCTCTGAAATCCAGAATACTTCTGGTCTCAGGCATTTCAGATAAGAAGGTTCAATCTATGGTATTTATGTCATATTGTTATTGAAGAAGTTAAATGAATTAATGCTCATAAAATACGTAACAGAACAAGCACAGAATTAGCCCCATTAATATTACTGTTGTTATTAACAAAATATGCCAAAATCAAATAGAACCTCTAGTATTTTGGGTGTGTCTGGAAAACCAAAATGTTCTTAGATACAGAAATTTAATACTGGGAAATAGATGCAAAAATAATAACAGCTTGCAGTTCAGTAGATGTATAACTCACCTATTAGTTCCTCATCCCTATTAGTGTTATCTTTTTCCTGATAAGCTTTTGACTATTAAGAGAAAAAAATTTACTAAAATTATTCAAATTAGATTTCCCTTAAGAAACTAGGATTATTTAAGTGCCCATATTTTGTATAAAAAATCTTTACATGTTGTGAATTAAATGTTATCTTTATTTATTAATTAATAGTTGTAGTTGGAACACAGTATGATTTGAAGTGTAGAGTGCAAGGTTCTTACTATAAAGCAAAATTAACTGTACACAAGTGCATTTTTAACTCAGTCTGAGAGGATTTTATATGATAATGAGGATCTCCTTAGAAAGTATTATAATACCAACTCCATGAACTCTGAGACCAGGCTTTCTACCATCTAGCTATGTCTGTAAAAGCTAGAGAACTAAAAAATATGTTCATTAAATAAGTTTTTGCATATTAAAATGTAAATAATTTTGGTTTTCTTATCTTTGTTAATACAGCTTGTATCTGAACATGCCTTTGAAATTCCAGACAATGTTAGACCTGGACATCTTATTAAGGAACTTTCTAAAGTAATTCGAGCAATAGAGGTAAGAGGAGAAACTCATCTAAATGCTATGGTACTGTGTGCCTCAAGAAGCAAATGGATCTCCGATCACTATAGGCAGTGAAAGAGCTGACACACGTACAGCAACAATAAGAGTCTCAGGTTTCCAGGCTTCTCATGACTTAGAGAGAAATTTAGAATATTTTGTTGTAGTAAAGCAACAAAATAGTAAGGAAGCAGGTACCAGGATACTTCAGGTTAGCAGAAAAATAAAAAATACAGGGTAATCAGTTCAATTTTCAGATCTGATTAATTTCAGCTGATCAGAGATGAATACATGTTAAGTAATTAGAACAAGAGGAAAGACTAAGGTGAGTGGATACAGGTAGGTGAAGCTGGGTTAGAACGAAGGGTGATAGTGGGCTGAGCAAGGAGATACACTTGACTGAAAACCCTAGATCAATTGGTAAGGTGAATGCCTTTGATGAAGGCCCAGAAAGTCTGTGACTAGGTGTTTGAATTTATTAATTAAGAATTACTCTAGGTATTTAAGCAAAGGATGTTTTAATTAAAGTAAAGTTGTATGTTGTTTTGAATTCAGTGGAAGAATGGAGGACTGGTAATTTAATATCATATTAGGGCTGTGTTTAAGGAATAGCAAGAGGTACGTACATATCTAAGAAAAATTAGAGTCCCAGCTGTAGTATCCATGGATAGAATAGTACTAGTTTGTGTATTTTTCAGTGTCTTCAGGTACAGTAGAAAAAGTGTATATGTCATTACGTATAAATGGATTTCATATAAAAAACCATATATAGTCTCAAAATACAGATATAGATATAAAAATATAAATAAATCTCAGGTACAGTAACAACCAAAACTAAGTATAAACTCAACAAGAAAAGGGTGAGTCTAGGGCCAGGAATTTAGCTCAGTGGTTTTACTGCCTGCTGTGCAAGCACAAGGACCCGAGTTTGATCCCTGGTACCAAAAAAAAGAAAAAAAGAAAAGGGTGAGTCTATGTGAAAAAAATCCTCTAAATGTTCACTGAGGGAGGTAAAATAATAGTTGAATAAATGGGAATATCATTGTTGGAAGTATTTCAATTCCAATATTATAGATTTAAAGTAGTAAAACACACCTCCGAGAATAACTGGACTGGCTCAGAGAGCACCTAGGGTAGGGCGGATCAGGTGAATGAAGGGCTCCCTATTTGTTATTTACCTGAAAGTAATGTTTAAGTGGGCATCTTATATTTTACCTGGCAGTTCTATGCAGAAGGGTTGTCTTCAAAGAAAAATATAAATTTGGTGGATTACTGAATGTGTCTGAATGGTTGGTTGCCTGTTCTGAAGGTGAATTTGGGGAATAGTGATAAATAGAAAATATGGTGAATGTTTAAATTTTTAAAAGTTTATTACAGTAAAACACACATTGCCAAGAATAGTGAATATGTTTGAAGTGTGAGGGAGTATTTCAAGCATTCTGAAGGGGATTAATGGCAAAGCATCCTTTAATATAATAACTTTTGGGGCTGGGGATATAGCTCAGCAGCACAGCGCTTGCCTGGCAAGCTTGAGATCCTGAGTTTGATCCCCAGTACTGCCAAAAAAAAATTTTTTTTTAAAATTTAAACATTTACAGTATCTTTTGATCATACCTCATTAAACACATATTTATGGCAGTTTCTGTGAAATTTAAAACATTATGGTGTGTCTTCACCCACCCACCTTATTCATTGGATCTGGCACTGTGAGACTTTAGGCTCTTCCCAAAGGTCAAAATGACCAAGAAAAGTAAACGTTTTAAATTGAGTCAGGACATGAAGACAGCCATGGCAGTGCAACTAAAAATATGCAAAACAGAACTTCCAGAACTGTTTCAGAAAATGATAAGAACAAGGGGATAAGTATGTTCGAAGGCAGAAGGAATATTCCAAGGGGAAGGTAGATGGCAATGTGCCTTCTACTGTGATCAGTGTTCTAAAAATTTGAATATTCCCTGTACTTTTTGATCACACCTCATACATAGAAAACAAAAGAGATGGGAAGTTAGGCAATTTTTAACTCAAGGGAAAATTAAAGGAGAAATAAAAACTGGGTGGGGTGGCACACACCTATAATCCTAGCATTCAGGAGGCTGAGGCAGGAAGATCAGTATGAATTTGAGGCGCCCTGGGATACATAATGAGTTCAAGGCCAGCCTAAATTACTTAGAAAAATCCTATCTCAAAACAACAATAAAAAAAACCCAAACAAAAAACAACAACAAAAAAAGCAAAAACAAAAGATGTATACTGGAGGGGCAGAGATTTAGTTCAGTGGTTTTGCTGCCTGCTGTGCAAGCACAAGGACCCGAGTTTGATCCCGGTACCAAAAAAACCCCCCCAAAACAAAAGATGTATAAAAGTGAAATGTAATAATAATAAGTTACATGGTACTGGGTATCCACAGTTTTTACTGAGTCCAATTTAAATACTGAATGTTGAAGGAAAGGGCAGTATGTGTAGATTAGAAATGTGAGGTTTGCCAGTCATGGTGGCACATGCAAGTAATCCCAGCACTCAAGAGGCTGAGGCAGGAGGATTGCAGAGTTCAAGGCTAGCCTGGGCTACATAGTGAGTTCAAGGATGGCTCAAACTGCATAGTGAGACCCTGTTTTTTTTTTTTTTTTTTTTGGTACCGGGGATCGAACTCAGGTCCTTGAGCTTGTACAGCAGGCAGCAAAACTATTGAGCTAAATCCCCGGCCCGTGAGACCCTGTCTTAAAAAAAAAACAAAAAAAGAAGAGTGAGGGTTAAAACTTTATCTTATATATAGGAATTTAGTAATATCTAAAGCTGAGAGCAGTTAAAACATGTTATTTAGAAATTTAGAGCACTTGAGTAAACACACTTGTAAGAATTTCAAGTGCTTGCTATATACCTAGAATAATTGAAAGCAGACTCACAGATTGTGTACACCATGTTCACAGCAGCATTATTCCCAGTGGCCAAAAGGAAGGAGCAACCCAAGGGTCCATCTATGGATAAATGGATGAACAAAGTGCGGTACATGCAGTACTTATTAAAAGAATGAAATCCTGATTCATGGGTGAACTTTGTAGATATTTTGCTAAGAGGAAAAGACTGCTCACAAAAGGGCAGATGGTATATAATCCAATTTATATGAGGTCCCTTGAATTGCCAAATTCACGGAGACAGCAGAATAGTGGGCAGGCCATGGTGGTGCACCCCTGTAATTCTATCAGTCAGGAGACCGAAGCCGGAGGATCTCTGAGAGTTTGAGGCCACCCTGGGCTGCATAATGAGTTCAAGGCCAGCCTGAATTATATAGTGAGTGACACCCTGTCTCAACAAACAAACAAACAAACAAAAATAAAAGAGCAAGCAGAACAGTGGTTGTCAAAATGGGAGAACAGGAAGTTAGTGTTCAATGGAAGGGGAAGACAGTGTTACCTCAGGGTAGAGCTTCAGGTGCCAGAGCTGCAGCTGAGATCAAAGCAAAAGAAAAGAAATGGTAGAAGAGTTCATTTAAGCCATTGTGAGGAAAATTTCTTGTTTTTACATCATCAAGGTGGATTTTGAGTCATTAAAATATCTCAGCAAAAGTTTAAAATATTAACTAAATTCGAGCCCCGTTCTTTCTAGAAGGTGACGACAGCATTGCGTTATTGCTCTGGATCTGCTGTCCCTCTGCTGTCATATACCTTTAATATATTTAACACAGGAAAACAGAAGAAGAAACCTCATATGTGTATTAGGTCAATAAATTATGTAGAACTCTTTTTTTTTTTTTTTTTGGTACCGGGAATCAAACTCCGGTCCTTGCGCTTGCGCAGCAGGCAGCAAAACCACTGAGCTAAATCCGCAGCCCAGGTCAATAAATTATGTGACATCCATACAGTGGAATACTACATAACTCTTAATCTGATACTGAAAATCAAGGAAATATGTTCACAGTGTATTATAGAGGGGAGAGAAGGGAATAAGACTCTCAGGAAAGCTGAGGCTTTGACTAGATCTTTTTCTTTCATATATTAAATGGAATGGTTCTTGTTTTCTAAAATATTTTTATGGCTGATTATTTAGTAAAGTATTATATAATAGTCTCATCAAAAAACATACTCTGAATTTAATTACTACAGGAAGAAAACAGCAAACCAGTTAAATCTCAGGGAATTCCTACTGTGTGTCCAGTTTCACGGTCCTCAATTGAAGCAACTTCCTCGTACCATTCCCGACGGAAGATGAGGAAGCTCCGGGATCACAGTGTTCGAACTCCTTCCAACCTGGACATCCTGGAGCTCCACACGAGGGAAGTCCTCAAGAGACTGGAGATGTGCCCGTGGGAAGAGGCAAGTAGTGTTTCCTGATGAGAAGAGAAATTGGGCTGTCCCCTGAGGTTCTTTAAAGGGTAATAATAATAGCCCTAGCCCAGGCTTCATGTTCTTACCTGACCTTTGCTGGAAAATTGCAGGCTTAGCCAGTACT